GAAATGATCTCATTTCGAGTAGAAAAAAAAGAAATATAAAGAAACAACGTATGAAAAATTAGCATAATTTATTAAAAGAGGGAGAAATTGGAGCTTCAGTATTTATTCTGATTTTTGAAAATTATTTGAAAATTATTAAAAGCCCCCAAAAATGGAGAAGAAAATAAAAAGAAAAATCAGGGAAAAAGAGAAAAAATATATAAAGAAGAAAAACGGAGGAAAAGAGAGAACCAGCTTCAGAAAACTAGAAAGAAAACGGAATAAAATGAACAAAAAAATAGAGGAAGTGAAATAGGAAAGGGGGAGGAGGGAGAGGTGGCAGGGGATGGGGAGGGGGAGGGGGGGATCAGAGGCAGGGGGGCAAAGGGGGAGGGGGGTGGCAAGGGGGGGGGGGAGGAGGAAGGGGGAAGGGGGAGGAGGGGGGGAGCAGAGACAAGGGGCTTAGGGGGAGGGAGGTGGCAAGGGGGGGAAGGGGGAGGAAGGGCAGAGGCAGGGAGCTAAGGGGGGGGGGAGGAGGAGGGGGGCAGAGGCAGGGGCTAAGGGGAGGGGGAGGGGGGGGGGCAGAGGCAGGGGGCTAAGGGGGGGGGTAGGGGGGAGTCGAATCTTCCCCGAGATTGCTTCCAGAACTTTCCATCTCACGGCTCCCTTGAGAAGTCCGTCGCGAGAGGATCCGATCTCATTATCTGCCGTTCTGTTTGGCGCTCGTTTCGTCTTATTACGGCCCGGTCTGTCTGTCTGTCTGGCTGGCTGTCTGTTTTGTCTGTCTGTCTATTTTGTGTGTCTGTCTGTCTGTCTGTGTTTGTTTTGTCTGTCTATTTTGTCTGTCTGTTTTGTCTGTCTTTGTATTTCTCTGTCTGTCTGTCTGTCTGTTTGTATTTCTCTGTCTGTCAGTTTTGTGTGTCTTTGTTTGTTTATATTTCTGTGGCTGTCTGTGTGTCTGTCTATTTTGTCTGTCTGTCTGTCTGTCTTGTGTGTCTGTGTTTGTCTGTATTTCTCTGGCTGTCTGTTTGTCTGTCTCTGTTTACCTTTGTCCGCTTTTGTCTGTATGTCTGTCTCTGTCTGTGTCTGTTTGGAAGTCTTTCTCTGTCTATTTGTATGACTTTCTTTGTCTGTTTGGCGGCTTGTATGTCTTTGTCTACGTGGCTTTCTCTTTCTGTTTTGTCTTTCATTTTTTTTTCTTTTCTTTTCTGTGTCTGATTTCGTGTGTCTGCCTGGCATTGCCTCATATTCTCTCTCTCTCTTTCTTTCTTTCTTCTCTTCTTTCTCTCTCTCTCTCTCTCTCTCTCTCTCTCTCTCTCTCTCTCTCTCTCTCTCTCTCTCTCTCTCTCTCTCTCTCTCTCTCTCTCTCTCTCTCTCTCTCTCTCTCTCTCTCTCTGGGTAAGGGATAAACAGGAAGAATGGGAATAAAAGAGAAAAGGAAGAACCAGAAATAGAAAAAGAAACGGAAGAGAGAAGGCGAGGGAGGAAGAAGAGATAGAGAGAACAGATAAAGAGATTGAAATAAGTAAAAAAAAAAAGAAAAAATGAAGATATGATTGAACCCGAGGAACACGAATGTGGGAAGAGGGAAATATGTGAACCATCAGTGGAAGAAAAGATAACAATAGAAGAGAGAGGAAGGAATCGGAAAGCAATAGCAAGGATTTCCCTCTTCTTCCTCCTCCTTCCTTCTTCCCTCCTTGCTTTCTTCCTCTTCCTCTTCCCTTTCTCCTTCGCCCCTCTCGCTCCACCTCTGCTTTCTTCTTCCGCTCCTCCTCCTTGCTTTCATCCCCTCCCTCTCCCTACACCTACACCCTACTCCCTCCTCCTTCCTCCTCCTTCCTCCCTCTCACTTTTCGCCTCCTTCCTTTCCTTCCCTCCTTCCTCCTTCCTCCCCCTCCCTCCATCCCCCACCTTCCTCCCCCGCCCCTCCTTCCTCTCTCTTCCTCCCACCTTTCTCCCTCCTCCTCCTCCCACCTTTCTCCCTTCTTCCTCCTCCCTCCCATTTACTTTCCTCCTTCCTCCTTCCTCCTCCCTCCCTCCTTCCTCTCTCTTTCCTCCTCCCTCCCTCTCCTCCACTCCCTCCTCCTCCTCCTCCTCTTTCTCCCTCCCCCCACCCTCCCTCCTTCCCTCCTTCCTCCTCCCTCCCTCTCTCTTTCCTCCCACCTTCCTCTTCCTCCTCCCACCTTCCTCTTCTCCTCTCCTCTCCCTCCTCTCCTCCTTCCTCCTTCTCTCCTCTCTCCTCCCCTTCCCCCATCCTTGAATACTTAGCGTTATGACTTGTGCAGGAGCGGCGTGGTCCTCCCCAAATGGCCCTTCCCTTTTGGGCCGCCGAGGACCGATTCTACGGAGGAAAAAGGACTCGGAAGGAGGGAGGGAGGGAGGGAGGAGGGAGGGAGGGAGGGAGGGAGGGAGGGAGGGAGGGAGGGAGGGAGGTAGGGAGGTAGGGGGGAGGGAGGAGGGAGGGAGGGGAGGAGGGGAGGGAGGGGAGGGGGGAAGGATGGATCTCTTTGCTCGAGGA